GCTGGCATTGTGGACCCATATCCACCACTGTGTGACATCAAAGGCTGTTACACAGCTCAGTTTGAACACACAATATTACTGAGACCCACTTGCAAAGAAGTGATCAGCAGAGGAGAAGATTACTGAAGAGACTCACTGTGCTTGATTTTAGAAGCTGGCTTATTGTAATCACCATCAAAAGTACAATATTCTGTTTTTGCCTCATTTTTACAAGTGGTAGCAGGAGATACAGTGTCAAAAGAAAGTGCAGCTCATTCATATATCAACCTTTTGTTGTTTCATCCAAAACCCTAAAATACAAAAATAATGTGTGCATAACGAACTGTCCTTTAGATTTCTTACCAGTGACTGTTAAGTATTTTATCCAGAAAAAACCATAGAAGCATTGAATATGCCCAAGGGTAAGCAAGCAATGAAGTATTAATAATATAAAATAATAATGCAGTTCAAGGACTTGGGAGGTTGTTATTAGCCAAGGTGGATGACAGCCTCGAAGATCTGCTTGATCCCTCAAATGATACAAAAGCTGAATTTAATACTAATTGTGTTTTAGTATACATTCAAAATATTTCTAAGATCGTAAGATCCTTATCCTTACTCTAGCGCTTGGTACAGTGGGCTCAGTTATGACCATTCCTTTATGAATTAACAAATGGATGCTCACACTTGAAAAAACCATTTTGACTCGAGAAAAAAACAAGATTGACCAGTCCAGAAGTTTGCGCTTGGCAACCTCAAAGGCTCTACTCATAGGGTGGTCTCACTGCTGCTTCTAAACAAAGTTGTTTTAGCTAAGGGATTAATGCCAATCAGGAACTGCAAAATTGTTGAATGAATAATAAAGTGCAATTGTAACATACAGCTTATAACAGCAAGGCTTGTTACCAGCAGATTGTATTTATTCAAACTACAGATATACATGTTGTCTAATACCATAATATTGATAAGTTAGGTGATTTACTGTGTGTACTCAAAAGGCCATTTTCACGATGACAGCAATTGACTACAACTACCAGAATTCATTTCGGTTTTGCTTTGCTATTTAAAATTGGTGATCCGGCTGAGGTTTAAAGAACAATAGCCTTAATTTGCACAAGAAAACAACAAACTAAAGTATTCTGGTAGTTGTACAGTGTAGTAAAATGATGTTTATCATACAATAATATTGTCCTATTGGTAAAAATCTGTTTGGTATTCTGTTTAATAGTTTCACATGATTTGAATTTAAAATGAACTGATAATGTATCTGTCTAGTGCAAGCAGAAAACTGTAGAGAATTTTGTAACTATTCCAAGTTGACTTCCTTGTTACGTAACAAATTAAACTTTTCATTCCTTTTGTTTTCCTGCTTTTGTCTGCCTTTCTAAAAGCTTTCTATGTCCTTCTACCCCTCTGTGTTAATGACAGCATTGTATTTGGCATAAAGATAAAGGTATAAGATAAGTTCAACAATTTTTGGCTGAAACATGATAGTGCTGGCTATACTAATATTTGGTGCCTATTCCTCAACACACACACACACCCACTACACATCACATGCAAGTAAAGTTTATCAAGCAAGCATAATTTATATTTTGCAAAATAGGCCATTTGCACCACGGCGTCATTTTATTACTATGACCAGAATCCTCCAGGGTATTGCTTTCCTGTGCAAATTAAGGCTTTTGTTATTTAGAGCGGTTTTCACTTGACTGTCGAAAGGGATTGGTTTTGGTTTTGGTTTTGGTTTTACTACGCCCTTTGGTTGGCTAGTGTATTTACTTTGGTTTTGGTTTTACGACAGTCAAGTGAAAACCGCTCTAAACCTCACGGGGATTACCAAATTTAAATATAAAAGGAAACACGAAATGAATTCTGGTCTTAGTAGTAAAAACAGTTCATCGTGCGAATGGCCCATTGAGGTCTGCCAATTCCTGCATAATGCTTTTCATTAGCATTTCAACTATAGTCTGAGATGGTTAAAAAAAGGAAATCAATCAAACCAACCAAACATGGTCAGTGATTTTGGAACAAATAGTCATGGTGAGTCCTGGGACTCATCTTGTAAAATTTTTATTCAAGGCAAAAGCTTCTGAAAAACCAGTTCATATTTTTGGGAAAAACAAAAAAAAGACTAAATATTCAAACAACTATTACGTTCCAAGAGGCCTCTTTAAACCATACTCAGTATATACCTGGCCAATAACAATGCCTGCAAATGCTATGCAAGATAAAACACTACAGAACTGAACATAAACGTGAACGTTCTTTGTAAACCAGTTTGAGTAAAAGCCAAGACCAAGAGTAAAACAGGCAACAAGAAACACAAGAGATCCACACACAGCATGCAACTGTTTCAACTGGCGTGGTTTCATCTTTCTTGCAATTGGCAACTTTGTGTACAAAACACCAACACCCTGGAGAGACTGGAGACAGATGAGGATAACGGTGCAGAAACCAAAAAGTCCATGCCAGCTTTGAAAATGTGGTTTGTTGTGCATATTCTTGTTGATATAGATAGCTGCAAAGCCCCCTAGAGCAGAGATCACAGCTGCAGTTTGTAGAATCCAGTGGAATTTGATCTTGGTTGCACGAGGGGATGACAAGATAAGTGAACTTTGTGGTGAAAACATCAGGGTTGCCTCAAACATCAGGAAACCAAACTGAAATAAAAAGGAAATGAAGTTATTTGTGGACAGCCACAGCAAGTTCAGTCGAGTCAAAACAACCACAGCTTAGAATACAAACAGGAGTAGTAAACAGCAATGGCCAAAAAAACATATTTTTCAAGTCCTGATCACATGTTGAAAAGTAACTATACAGCCACAGGATTCTCAAAGGAAGTGACCAACAAAAGTCATAGCCAATAAGACCCAGAGATCGCAAGGTGAAGTAATAAATATATCATTGTTTCATTCCAGTGAAAGCAAACTGTTTGCCATTTATTTTTTAGGCAATAAATTGATTGACGGGAGTTAATGCAGGTATAAGATCACGTTTTAAATAAGTTGATCCTGTTATTTCTTCACTTGGTGCAAGATTCATCCTTCAGTATTTACAAATTTTTTTCCCCTGAATTTTGATTTATTTACTCTCGGAATCTAACAAAATATACATTAATGTCCAACATACTCACACTCAACGCCATAAGGGTAGGATGCCACGAAAACAGACCTAAATGGATCGTGACGAACAACAAAACAAATTTCAAAAACACAAGAAAATCACAACATGTATGGTTTGAAAAATTTATTCAGTTTTGTTTCATGTTACCAGTGGAGACAAGGGAATACTCTTGATTCAAAGGGAAAGTCTACCAAAATTCACATGTTTAGGATTTTGGGGGAGAATTATACTGTGGGCTGCACAGAGATCTAAAAGCTGATGTTTTTGGTGATAGCACGTTGTCTGAGGTCAGCTTTTAAATCACTTTATTAAGGTACTCAGTTTACATTCTCAACTCCCATGATGAAACCAAATTCCTCACCAACAGAGCAAAGAGCACCAAATTTTCAAGTACTTTGTTTATGCATATAGTGCACTGGTAAAAAAGGACGAGGTAAAATAATAAGCTTAAGCTTATTGAACCTTAATTTTGGTTCAGGAATTTTTTAGAGTCTCACCTCTAATCATAGGGAATCTATTTACTTGCACTAATATTTTGTTTAAAACTGAGAAAGGTTTGGCGAGTGAACCCAGGAGTCATTTCAAAAGTAGGTTGAGTTTGATCGTCCGGGTATTTTGTTTAAGTTAGCTAAAAATTTAAGAAAAATCTTTAGATTAGTACTAAACAATTTTCTTAAACTTTTAGACTGACTTCTTTCAAAAGGGCGACTTTAGTGAAAGGTTTCTACATGTAAAAAAGCGTTTAGCCTCTTTCAGCTAATAAGATTATGAAAAACAAACATGAACGATGTAAAGATCACTTACTTGTTCCAGGTTGGGCAAACCATATCACCAATAAAGGGAGTCCCACAGCAACTATATGTACCATGCTTAAAAAACTGCTTCTTTCGACTTTCCTGCTTTTCTCTGTTGGTGAAGGAACAGCTGAAGACAGCTGTGAAGATTCCCGTTCGATCGGAGGACTTTCTTCCTTCATTTATATAGGTAACCAAGCCTTTCCATTTTTTTTGTCACGCAAGGAGCGATGGGAGGGAGGGTTGGGGAAGAAGACACTGTGGAGGGGAGGGGAGATACTCCCACTACTGTAGCAGTCAGATATCTGACCGGAAGCGTTTATAGGAATCCGGAGGAAATTTTTAAAGATTGCTTTTTTAACAAAAATTTCCACGGAATATCAAAGACCGGAGTGGTCGCACCAGATGCAAATCGCCCAGTGGGGCTTGACCATAAGTATGAAGTCCGCTCATCTTTTGACAAAGATGATTGGACTTCAACTAAAGTTTAAAGAAAGTATTCCAGAGGACCACAAACGGGGTAAATGTTATCAGAGGCTTGCAGTTTGTTGTGTAAACCGGGAACAAAACAGCCCATCGTTAACGGCCCAATGAGCAAAGCAGTAACCCCAGGGCTCCTGGAACATAATTGACGCAGTTCAGTGAAATCTGTTGTAGTTAAAGCTAAAATGGACGCATAAATGAACAAATACTTACCTTATTTATGGAATGTGTGCTTTGGCTTATAGATAACGATAATTGAAAAGGAAGTTTGATCAAAAAATGCACAGGAAGTCATTAAAATGTTTTCTGTTTTTATCCGTGACTGATTGCAAGTCACAGCCAGTGAAATTCGCCACGATTGCAGTGAATCGTTTTTAGTAGTTCTGTTTGCTTTTTTATTCACTTTCGCACCGAAGAATGGAAGCAAACCTTCAAAAACATTAAATAGTTTTACGACACTTGTGAATGGATAATTTTTCGTTTCTTTGCTCTTGGTTTTCGAGCCCAGAACACATAGATCATGATAGATGTTAATCTAATTTTTGAACAAAAACACAAGGAATAGGTTGACTGTGATTGGACGGCGCAGTCAGATAAGAAATGTTTTCAATGATTCTA